TCCAACAAATCTCTTATTTCAACGATTGATTCATCATGGAAAGCGGCAGCCACTTGGTTGTCTTCCGAGACTGGTACAGATTTATCATCTCTCTTCATGATACCGGCCTGGTCTATATCGTGGCAATGTGTTACAAGAACATCTTGATGCTTGGGCCCCTACTATTTTTCTCCTGATCCTCCTCGTATCAGCCCTCGCATCACACCCTTACCCCGACCTTACTCTTGTCATACTGGTCATCCTTGCATTTCCCTTCGCCCTCTACCTGTCGCTGCAGCAGAGCCAGTACATCTGGCCGGATATTTTTGCTGACAAAGCATACCCATGCTCCGTTCCACCTCCTGACTGATCCTGTGGACAGTCCCCTTACCATCTGGATGGTAACCTACGATACGACGCATGCCGCGTTGTCTTAATAACCGAGGGTCTTATATAAAGTCGTGTAAATGTAATGACACCACAATTACACTTTGGATAAGACTGCTTGCCAGTCCTCGATTAACACGGTCTACAACTTTTCCTATTTCGTGGTAGATAACGTGTGAGTTCTTGGGAGGCTCGCTAAACTAATCTTTTTATAAAGATCAACCTAGCCAGAGCTTTACTTTTCTTTATTGAAACTCAAATCTCTTGTCTAGGAATAAGCTTCTAGACACGTAATTCAGTTTCTGGAATGTATTTGCCTAGGAAATCTCCTTCTAGGCTCTGGACTTGGATACTGGAACTAGTGAGACGTGGTCTCAAATATACGAAATATGACCAAGATTGCTTGGTCTATGGACACCTGACTGTGAGACAATGGTCTTAAATATACGATATATGTTCAAGATCGCTTGAACAAAGGGGACTATAACTTGACCAAGATCACTTGGTCTATGGGACAACTAGTGAGACGTGGTCTCAACAATATGATAGATGACTAAGATCGCTTAGTCAAAGGGCACAGAGCAATGAGACAAAGGGGTCTCAAAGACAATATATATGACCAAGAACGCTTGGTCTATGGCACTAATAAGTTTCTAAGGTAAGAAACTTATAATCTCAAGGGAATTCTTTTCCCTGCACTTGTCTCACTTCAAAGAGACTAACTTTGCAAGTGAAATATCTGATAGGCAGATTGCTACAAATGGGAGATCATATTTTTTTTGGGGGGGAGAATGGGCTCTCCTTATATACATTTTGTGTGGGAAAGTAACCTAGGTTCACAAACAATAAAAAATAAGGAGGACCAATCAAAATATTGGGTCAAACCCAATAAAAGAATAAAATACAAGTGAAAGATGGAGCTATGACATCATTGTGGAGCAGAACATTCTGGAATGTGGAGTAATGACATCATAATGACATCAAGAGTGACATCATTGTGCAGCAGAATATTCTAGAAGGAAATGACATCATGAATGATGTCATTGTAGAGTAGAATAATCTAGAGCTTGATGACATAATATCTTTCAACAGAATACCTGCAGGAGTATCTGTGGAGTCTTATGACATCATAATGACATCATACCCTATGGGTACAATTTTATGAAGTGTCAGGTGAGTCAAAGCATCCTAATGAAAAAGTAAAGTAAAGAAACACTAGAGAAAAGTAGGTAGCAAAAATAAGACAGTTGGCAGGAATTGAAACACAGTCAAAATAATGCAGTTGGCAGGAATTGAAACACGGTCTTTTTGGATAGGTTTTTTATTGGCTTTGTACTTTTCTCTATGGTTTTCTCTAGCCAAAGTGAATAAGCCAAAGGCAAGGCTATACCTTAACCTTCATTTCCCTTCTCACATCAACTAGGTCTAAATGTGATTCCCATCTCACATTAGACTTTTTCCGTCAAAACGTATTCAGATCATGAAACTTGGGGAAAACTGGAAATATGGACCATGGTTTGAAACCAAGGTATGGGTTGACTAGTCTGAGGACTAAGCTAACAGACTTTATCTTTTGAGGGTCACCTAGTATTCATGTCCATGCATGATTCCCACATCATGCAGGACAGCGTCCCCTATGCCCAGTTCCCTTTCTAGATCTATGACCTGTTGCGCAGTCGCACATGTCACTTATATTTAGCTCTGCAGTTGCACGGTCATGCCCCTGCGCGTTTCACTTCTTATTTCGATCTTTGACTCACTTTCTTATCTGCACGTTCAAGATCACTCGTGTATCACCTCGAATGTGCCTTCCTTTTATGGTCTTACCCTGTATCAGTTCCTTCTTCTGGCAGTACGAGTTATCACCCACTAATATGCTTCCTGTCCTCTATATAAACTCGCTACCATGTACCATATTCCTTAACTTGAATCTACTTGGTTCTTGACCTCCTACTCTCACCAGAGTGATCCCTTCTGCCTCGCCAGCAGTCTATATTCTATCCTCTTATCTGCTCCTCGCGGATAAGTCTTTAGTCTCAATCTTTACTCGTCGACTTCGTCAATGAGCAAAGCCCCTGTTAACTAGTCGGACTTCTGTCCTTCTAATTAACGATGATCTTACGATTAACCTTCGGGTGTCGTAAGCCTTGGCCGATATAGCTTATTGTCTAGCACCCGCTTGACATAAGCTACCCGATTTGGACATAGGCGTCAAATCTTACTTGCCGAAGCCTCGCCAAGTAAGACCCCTAACCTTGGGCTAGCCCAAGGACGTCCTCGACCGTTGACGACACACACTCTGTTTGAGCATCGCCAACAGATACCATCCAAGTCGTAACACAATGAAGCCACAGTACAGAAATTTTGGGATGGAAGGCCAGAAGGATTTAGGTTGTGAAGACAGCAATGATTGTGTGAAGTGACATCACCACAGCATATTTCGACACACCGATGTTCTTCATTCATGATAATGACCTTGTCTCTATCATAGCAATGAAGCACCGGTGTGGGAAGTGTTACTGTTGGTCATTTTGGGGACAAGACCACATAAGACCTAAAAACTTTGCAACAGACAAGAGAAACACAAATGCAAAGCATGACTCACTGTTGTGAACTTGCGAGCTCAGGTACTGCGTTGTAGAGCCTCACATCTCCACAGGCACTTCCCTCCAAATTCTCCCACTTTCCTTACAAACTCCAGCTCTAATCCATAGGATACGTTTTGCGCATTAGCACACTTATATTTTATTTTGCAGGTTTCGTGTGCGGGCTCGTGCACTTCGCACATCCACCTTTGCATTGTCCGCGCACCTGTCCGTCTGTCCATCCCATGTCCTTAGATGTTCATTGGTGCATTTTCCCATCATATTCCCTTTTCATTTAAGTTTCCATCGCTAATACTCAGCTCTGCGCTTCGCGCATAACCGAGACCCTGTTACATACACCACATACTATTTTTAGCCTGTTCAGCTCATCACATCGGACCTGCGCGCCTAGTGCTGCTTAGCTACTTTACTTACACCCCTCTATTACTTATGTACTTGGTCGATTTTCCGCCCACTTTCTCTGTGTTTTAGATACAAGGAATTTTACTTGTTGTTTGCAAGTTACTATCTAAAGTCGTGCGCATCGGTTTTCCACCTTCGCATTAGCATCAGCCAACCTTAGTTGGGGGTGTTAACACTCGTCTCACCTCATATTTCCTTTGCCTATCTCACTCATTCCTACTTCGCCGTCGCTCGCGCACGTTATCTTTGCATCACACACCTCGCCTTTCACCTTTTGCACTCGCGCATCCGCCTTTCGCATATCGCATCGTTCCTGCCTTGCGCTTTGCGCGTTACTTAGCCTTAGTACTTTATTAGTTGTTTGGTGTCCCTCTTTTTACAAAGGAAGGTTTCCCTTTACTCAGTTAGCTGCCCTTGGGTCAATGATTATACTCGTGCCCGGGTCTATCTGTGTTTGCTTAGCTTAGCACCAACTTTCCCCACAGTTTAGATTCCTCATCTTCAGCGTCATAGAGGCATGATGTCTGTCACAAGTGAAGCAATATAACTGGTACCAGGCGAAATACATGAGGTGTTTGTTGAAAGGTAAGATAAACACAGATGCAAAGCATGACTCACTGTTGTGAACTTGCAAGTCCAGGTACTGAGTCATAGAGGTACCATATCTGCACAATGCTCCGACCTCTTTGGCGTGTTTTGCAAGTAGATACAATCATCAAGTTGTGGAACATGACAGAAGGCTGTAAGAAGATTTGAAGCAAGTTATATATTGGCGGTCGCTTGCTTTGAGGTACCTGTGAGGTGTTTGAGGAGTCTACAAGATCTTCATATATTTCGGGCTAGAAAGGGTAGAATGGTTCGAATTGTGAGGATGACAATAATTGCGTAAGATTACAATTTAGCACTGACACTACATATGCTTACAGTGCTACACCCAGTTTCAAATCATTGATAAATATTGTCGTGACCGTGAACTCTTTGAACTTAATCAAAATTGTATGCTTTTCGTGCTGTGTAAAATATACCTCTTTGAGTGAGGGTCAACTAAGAATTGTACAACACATACGATTCTGCAGTTACCGTCTGGGTGCAACACAGACTCATATATCTTGCCCTCGAGCAGGCTACATCCACATCATCATCACCCTAAGCAAGTGAAAAATATTCAGTGAAGGGTGAATGATATCTGTCTGTGTTCCTGCCAGCCTTCCTGGGGATGTCGCTAAAGTTTATTTCACTTCAGCACATTGCAACCTCCCCCCTTGACCCTCTCAGTACCGGTCTGTACTGAAATTCATGAACCTGTACCTGCTCTTTTTATCTTACATCCATCCAAACCTAAAAGGTTCTGAAACAAATAATGTTGTTAGGCTGGTGTGTTTTAGTGATGCGGAGGTTCGGTTCTGAACCGCGGTTCGAACCGGACCTTTCGTGGACTGGTCCACGGTCCAGTTCAACGTTCAGAGTATAGGCTGAACTGGACCGATGGTCCAGTCCAGCGTTCAGCATTCCTTGAACGCATTGAACGCATCCGAACGTGTCCGAACCTTTTTGAACTGCTTCCATTTTAGGCTACTCACACATACGAGATGACATCACCCACACATGCAATACACTGAACATGACATGATTACTCGCAACTTTTTCACTTGGAATCCGATTCACAAGGACCATGCCACACTGGCAAGGTCCGTGAAGGTTTGTTTGCCTACCACTAACCCAAACATTACAAAGGAAGAACCTGATAAGGTATGGAGACTTTGGTTAATTTGGTTTAGTGCTAATGTATTTGTTAATGGATCGTTTTTTTTCTAGGGTAGCTACATGAATTGTTCGGCACTCATGAACTTGATGGAAGTTAAAATGGATCAAATTCAAGGTAAGCTCAACTCTCTTCAAGCTTTCCCCCTCACAACATGGCTGACCAGTGTGGTCTGGGTGCAGATGGAACTCTCCTCGATGCCAGTCAAATCCGATGGTACAACGATCCCGACGACGATACTCCACTGCCTGTGCTTCCTGCTCAGGCATGTCGCTCGACTTGTATCCCATGCCCTGCACCCAAGCTTGTTGACCCCAACAACGCTGTCTTGCACAAATGCAAGGCTAGCAGGTCAGTGGTCACGAGTGAGGGCTCTGAGGAGGAAAGTGACTGTGAAGGAGACCAGGATAACGGGGTAACTACGGATGCAGCTACTGACATGGATCATGAGACAGATATCGACGGCATCACCCCCTCCGAGTCTGCTTCACAGTAGTGTACCAGTACTCCTTACTACTAGCTATAGTACAATCGAGTATATTTACAATGTGTTCGATGTTCGAACGCTGAACCGGACGTGAACCGGACGCCATGAATGCGTTCATGGCGTCCGGTTCAGCGTTCGCAAAATTTGTTGCTGAACCGGACCAATCGGACTTCCGCAACACTAGTGTGTTTATACATTCGTCTTTCCTCGATAAAACCAAATATTCCCATGTGAAAGTAGTCAGCAGATATACGAAGATTGTTGCGATGCTCTACTATATATTACTTTGGATATCTTTCTCATCTGTTCACCGGTTCTCTGATGCAACGTCCAGCCAGCTGAGCGGTAGCGCTGCTCGGTTCCTTCACTCGTTTTTTTCTCCTTACTGCTACGACTTAGAGTTCGTTGTTCATTAATCTCCTCACTCGCTCGAATAAATATTCTTTATACCCGCCCACCACTCCCTTTATTTCGTTTGATAACACCGTAGTTTTACAACTACCAGTTAGTTTAATCATAGGCACATTGTCACAATTTTACTGTTTGCTTTTCTATCATATCTCGAAGAGTCATACGACATGATCGAATTCGTAATCAGGTGTCCCGCCCTCCCAGCGGCTCCATCTGCTTGCGTCCCTTTCCGAGCTGACGCTCGGCCCAGCCCAACTCATTAGATCGTGTCGCTAACTCTCGCCCGTCGAAGCTGGACTATGGGTAGTCACCCAATGGTCAGGTGGGAAGATAAATTATAACAGAACGGTCATATATGACATTGCAACACTATACAACTAACAACAGCTCACACATCTCCCTCGGCTTTCATCTCACACTTCACCCTCTTCTGTGGGGTCTCAGACATAGCCATAGCCTGCACAATATCCTCCTCGACTTTGAACCTCTTCAGTGGGTTTGCAGATGCACTCGGCTCGCCTTCCAGCATCTGATGGATCCCGTTCATCAGCATATCCTCTTCATCCTCGTCTCCACTCATGACCTTCTTGCCCGCCGCAGTGCGCTTTCCAGCCTTCGTCTTCTTTGCCTTTCTGGGCTTCTTCGGAGAAGGGACAAATGTGGTGCCATTCTTGACTGCCCACTCGATCTCGATGACTCTGTTGTATGCATTCCGCCATGCAGAGACAAGAAAAGGCAAGCAAAGAAATACGTCAGAATTATCGTTTTGACCCGGATGCCATACAAAGGAAAACATGAATAACGAAAAGTATCCACCTCTCTTTCAACTTGACGTTATCTGGGACATATGACTCAGCTTTGCGGTATAGGTCGAGCGCTACTTGGAGATCGCCCCTGTTAACGTCATTAGGCAGACGCATAGTGCATGTCGGGATGCGGGCACATACTTTTCGGAATGAGCGCGGGCTAGCATCACGTACGCACGTCCGGTTTTCTTTCGCGAAGCAGGTGAAAGCACATCTGCTAGCTGAAGTTCTTTAGTCCCGCGTTCGCTGTAAGTCAGTCAGTGCCAGTGCTGTGGTATAACCTCGCTGGTAGAGTAGACGTACTACTTTTCTTCCAACTCTTCGAGCCTCGCACGAAGTTCATTATCCAGATCCCGATGCCGGTCCATAAGCGGGGTAAGCACACCAGTCGGAAGTTTTCGATCTTCTTCTTTCAACTTTTCTTGTTCCCTCTCTCTTTGAAGATTCAACTGAAATGCAATATTTTCCTTCTCCTGTCGTTCAAGGTCTTCGCGTTCCTTGAGACGGCGTGCAACTTCAACTTCGACGGCTCTTGCGATCTATCGATTGGTATTTAGCAACGTATAGGATAATTTATAATAGGAGCATTTGCGCACCCGCTCATCAATTTCCTTATCTGTCAACTGCATCATCCCTGAGCTAACGCTTGTCTCTGCTGTCTCGCTAATAATTGCAGGCACTCCCGAAGGACGATGTCCCTTCTGAACACCAAATATGCCAATACCACTAGCGCGTGGTACACGAGATCTGCCTTGACCTGCACCAGCGAGGCTTAGTCTGGGTGCGACACGGGCAATGCTGTGACGTGGGCCACGTGATGGACCTGCGACAGCTTCCAAAGGCTGGAGTACGGCGGGTGCAAGTTTCGGAGGTGGTGGTAGGACTGCTGCAAAGTGGGGTTTGGGCTGGGGTCGCATATCTACATAGCGTTAAGTTCTCATAAATTACGCGAGATTTGGCCAGCAACCCACCGCGCTCGTTGACCACCGGTCTGTTCTCGACGTTCTTTGTCCGCACTGCGAAGCTGAAGGCAGTTATGAGCGAGGCAAAGGTCTAATCATACGAACGCCAACTCACTTCAACGTGTTCAGTGTATCCTGCCTAAATTTCGTTCCAGGAGCAAGATTACAAATGAGCAATCCCACAGAATTCCCGCCGAGGGCGTCTTGGAGGATTCGCGTGAGCTTGGAATTGCGATATGGTATTCGAGACTGCGCATGTCGTCAGCTTATAAGCCCCTAAACTGACCAAAAGACGCACAGCCCCCTGGTTCAATGCATGTACAACCTGCCCGAGGACACTCAGGCTCTTATTGATGGCCGCGCTCTCAGCCATCCGTGTGGGGTCATTTCCAGTTAACTTGTTGTTTTCTGAACCAGCCAGATCGACAAGGTTAATCTTTCCTGTCAATGCTAGAAAGATATAGTATATCAATTGCGTAGGGAAGTTGTGAGGTCACGATTGGTTCTTACATCTCTCTGCAGAAGAATCAGTCATAGTTACCTCCAGTGTTAACATAGCATGTGAACGAGACGAAGAACGGTTAAGATTCGTTGCTCCCACTGAACGTTGCTTTGACGCTTGGCTGCACTCAAATGTAAGCAGATGCGTGCTTGGGTGCTACCCGCGATGACGCAAGTGACCAGAATAAAGCACATACGAATAAGTTGCAGTGAATTCCTCGACTGAGGCTATTGGTACGGAACTCAAGTTTGCAACAAAGACTTGGCCTACATCATTCTCTCGTACTGGAAGTTTTGGAGCCTGCACATCCCAGGACATCGGTCAGCAACTTTACCATGGGAGAATGATCAATAAAATTGAAGCATACCGTCTCCCGATCAACTAACAAGTCATAACATTCATCTTTATATATCTCCATATACGATACTGCGAGTTCGACGTTAGACCTTAGTAACGCTGCTTTCTGTTCGAACATGGCCTGTCACAGTGGCATTGGCAATCATTTAACGTGGAAAATGCAGTGTAGTATACGCACCTCGACAACTCTTGGAATCACACCAGGGCATGCTTTTGTTCCTTGCATTGTGTGTGTCTTGCCAGAGGACGTTACGCCGTATGCAAAGATTGTTACGGTCTATGACCATTGATATAATAAGAATTTCGAATAAAAAATTCGAGGACATACGACACCACTGTATACAACGTCAATGAGCGGTCTCACATCCTGCTCAAAGATCTCCTCTTGTGTAGAATCTTGGTCGTAACAACTGGTAAATCTAGTTAAATGGTAAGTCACTGTATATAACACCTAAAACATGCTATAATTGAAAACACTGCACGCACGGAAAGCGAAAGACTTGCGTCACATCCCGTGGGTTGGGCACACAAATCCACGACGGTCCTTCTCCGTCTTCGTCGTGGGTTATCTGTATTCCTTGGTCGTCAATCTCGTGCTCTATGCGAGGTCGCAGGCGCGCGGCGATCTTAATCTTGTGTGTGCCAGACATGTGCTTCAAAGATGTGGGTCAATTTAAAGAGGACTTGAGGACTTTGATTGCAAAGAATTGTTGCCAATGGTACAGAAAAGGATGTCAACCATAACGCGTTTACACGTGATTATCACGTGATTGACAGGTCCCGGTCCTAAGCTGCCGACACTAGACTGCGAGGAGAGGCGTGCTCAATTCTTACGATGTCAAGTTCAAGGTGTGTCAAGTCCCACCGTGCCTTGAGCCAAACAACATAGCCGACCGGCGAGACCCCATTTGGGTTGCCGAAGCCAAGCTTACTCCGCCTTATCAACAACCATCGTGCAACACAGTTATGCAGCGACAACGAGATTTTCGTGACCTCTTAACTGCCTCATCGTCTATGTTAGGTATCTCGCAGCGCGATCGTCTTGAACTCGAGCACTTCATTTTTCCTGATAACGACAATGGTGACCACTGTCATCACACTGCTGCATCTTTCACAAGAACAAGCACAGTGCTTCAAATATTCGCAAGTCATCATGTGCAGCGGCCATGTGCTGGTGGTTGTGACCAATGTATGGCATGTTGTATTGTTGTGGAACATGACCTGCAGCATTATTATAAGTCCTCTGCCGAGCACCATTGATGTCTTGTAAGGCATTATATATATGCCCTGCGAAGAATTAATAGGGTTGTATACTATGTCCCGTGCTGGATAGCTCATCACTGGTCAGTGGACCACAGTGAAGTTTCTATGTTCAAACTTAGTCCATTGGTGTGACGGCGTCTTTGCTTTGGTGGTTTCGGCAACCCAAATGGGGTCTCGCCGGTCGGCTATGTTGTTTGGCTCAAGGCACGGTGGGACTTGACACACCTTGAACTTGACATCGTAAGAATTGAGCACGCCTGAGCTGGGAGTCAAACGTCAAGCCGGACAGAGTCGGGAGCCGGGTTCTGGTGATGATCGGCAATTTCCGGGTAGGGTATGGTAGCGGTAGTACCAAAGCTTACGTCTTTCCCCGTCTCCCTTGCTACTGCTGTCGACATTGTCGTCTTTAAAATGATTCCGCGTACTACAATACGGCGTTTTCCAAGTGTCTTCAGCGCTACTGGGGGTGCTCGCTTCACTCCAACAATTGGGCAGCGGACTTTAGCCACTCCCGCAACACCACCTTCTCCGAATGACCCCTTCGCAAACGGCACAAATGCTTACTACGCGGAGGAAATGTACAGACATTGGAAACAAGATCCAAAGTCTGTCCACTCTTCTTGGAACGCTTACTTCTCTGGTATGGAGCACGGTCTCCCCAGCGCCAAAGCATTCCAGCCACCTCCAGGCCTAATCACACCCCCTGCGGATGGTGCCCCTGCCCTATATGCCGGCGGAGGCTCTGAGCTTGATGACCATCTGAAGGTGTGGCTTCTGCTCTCTTTTGTGGTACTAGATAGCTGATCCCTTGTAGGTTCAACTACTTGTGCGGGCTTATCAAGTTCGTGGCCACCATGTCGCCGAACTGGACCCCCTCGGCATTCTAGATGCTGATCTCGCAGATGTTAACCCTCCCGAACTTGAACTAAGCCGGTATGGATTCACTGAGCGTGACTTGGACAAGCAGATCGCTCTTGGACCAGGTATTCTCCCTCATTTTGCGACAGAGGACCGGAAATCAATGAGTTTGAGGGAGATCATTGCACTTCTCAAGCGGATATACTGTGAGTCATCTTTTTATATTTACCTGATCAAAATCCTCATTTTCTCTGTAGGTGGCGCTGTGGGCATTCAGTATGTTCACATCCCAGACAAAGAGCAATGCGATTGGATCAGAGAGCGTGTCGAAATTCCAAAGCCTTGGAACTATACAGTGGAGGAGAAACGCATGATTCTTGATCGTCTTATCTGGTCAGAGTCGTTCGAGAAATTTATTGCAAGCAAGTACCCGAACGAAAAACGTTTCGGTCTGGAAGGCTGTGAGGCGTTGATTCCCGGCATGAAGGCGCTCATCGACCGATCCGTCGATCATGGTGTCAAGCATGTCACGATTGGCATGCCTCATCGTGGTCGTCTTAATGTTCTTGGCAACGTCATTCGCAAACCCATTGAAGCCATTCTGAACGAGTTTATGGGTACTGATGTCGATAACCCAGCGGGCGACGTCAAATATCATTTGGGTGCAAACTATGTTCGCCCAACACCATCTGGCAAGAAGGTCTCTTTGTCACTTGTTGCCAACCCTTCGCATCTAGAAGCCGAGGATCCTGTTGTCCTGGGCAAGACATATGCCATACAGAACGTTGAGGGTGATGAGTCCACTCACAACACTGCAATGGGTGTACTGCTGCACGGTGATGCCGCATTCGCTGGACAAGGAATCGTCTATGAAACCATGGGCTTCCACAACTTACCCAACTATGGTACTGGTGGGACTATCCATCTCATTGTGAACAACCAGATCGGTTTCACTACCGACCCTCGTTTCGCGCGTTCCACTCCTTACCCTTCCGACATAGCCAAGTCCATAGATGCCCCAATCTTCCACGTGAATGGTGACAACGTTGAAGCTGTCAACTTTGTCTGTCAACTTGCGGCTGATTATCGTGCAAAGTATAAACGTGATGTTGTCATCGACATTGTTTGCTACCGTCGTTACGGCCATAATGAGACGGATCAGCCCCATTTTACTCAACCCCGGATGTACCAGGCGATTGAAAAGCAACCAACACCACTTACCCAATACACGAAGTTCTTGGTCGGCCGTGGTACCTTTACTGAGAAGGATATCGAGGAGCATAAGAAGTGGGTCTGGGGGATGCTGGAGAAGGCAGCCGCTGCGGCAAAGGACTACGTTCCAACCAGTAAGGAATGGCTATCCGCATCTTGGCAGGGTTTCCCCTCGCCTCGACAATTGGCAGAAGAGACGCTGCCAACCCGTGCGACAGGTTCTGATGAAGAAACTCTCAAGCGTATTGGAAAGGCCATTTCGTCATATCCTCCTGGTTTCACCCCGCATCGCAACCTTGCTCGTATCCTGGGCGCGCGTGGCAAGACAGTCGAAGAAGGTCAAAACATCGATTGGTCTACAGCTGAGGCTCTCGCATTTGGCTCTCTCGCACTCGAAAAGATACACGTGCGCGTCTCCGGTCAGGATGTGGAGAGAGGTACATTCTCTCAACGGCACGCTGTCATTCACGATCAGAAAAATGAACAGCAATATATCCCTCTGAATGATCTCGGTTCAAATCAAGCTCGCTTTGTTGTATGCAACTCGTCGTTATCCGAATACGGCACTCTTGGATTCGAATTAGGCTATTCGTTAGTTTCACCAAGCTCTCTCACTATGTGGGAGGCGCAGTTTGGCGACTTCGCCAATAACGCCCAGTGCATCATTGATCAATTCATCGCCTCTGGCGAACGGAAATGGTTACAGCGCTCCGGCCTTGTTATGAGCTTGCCACACGGATACGATGGTCAAGGTCCCGAACATTCAAGTGGAAGGATTGAGCGCTTCCTCCAACTTTGCGATGACCACCCCAACGTTTTCCCTACACCGGAGAAAGTTGAGAGACAACACCAAGATTGCAATATGCAAGTTGTGTATCCGACGTACGTATCTTTCTAACCCTCATGACGAAACTGATTTGATAGGCCGCCTTAGTACCCCCGCTAATTATGTAAGTTCTGCCCTTCGGCTTCGTGAGTATCTCACTGAGTTTCTTGTAGTTCCATGTTCTTCGTCGTCAAATCCACCGCGACTTCCGCAAACCACTCATTATCTTCTTTTCGAAATCACTTTTGCGCCATACAAATGCTCGTTCGGATCTTTCGGAGATGATCGGCGACACTCATTTCGAACGCTACATTCCTGATTTCCATCCCGAACACTTAGTGCCTGCTGAGGAAGTGAGACGTCACATCCTCTGCACCGGTATGCTGTACTGTTTGTTTAGTTGTCGAGTGAACTCAACATAGGATTAGGTCAAGTATACCAAACCCTCATCCAGGAGCGTGATGCCAAGGGCATCAAAGATGTGGTCATCAGCCGAATTGAGCAGATCTCGCCCTTCCCCTACGACCTCGTGAGTCAGTTTCGTTTGATCGTCTACAGTGTTTTTACTGACATTTGCAGATCACTCCTCATCTTGACAAGTATCCCAATGCAGATATACTTTGGTGTCAGGTAGACCTTTGTGTCAACTGCCAGTATTCCATCTAACTTGTATGTAGGAGGAACCATTGAATAATGGGGCGTGGACTTATGTTGGACCTCGTATTCTGACTGCCGCCAATGAGACGCAGTACCATAAAGGTAAATATCCGTACTACGCAGGAAGGCAGCCGACGGGCTCTGTCGCTACGGGTAGCAAAGTGAGTAGTTCGGTCTTTGATTGTTTATAAGCGCTCTAACCCACGCGAATAGGCTCAGCACAAGAAAGAGATCGAGGAGTTCTTGGGCGCTGCCTTTGCCTAATAGTGTACGATGCTCAGCGACAATAATATATACATATTATAGCGGCGTGCAAACACTGGTACCCTCTTTTGACTTGCTGGTGGATCTTGGCCATGGAGGCATCACAGTCATCTATCTCAAGTGTGTTTTCAGGACTAAAAGATTACTGCTAGCGATCAGGTCAGGCAACATTCACCGAGATCTAAAGTCGTTGGTATGTTCGTATGGGGCACCACGGATGTTTAAACATGCTCAAGACTATCTTGCCAACTGCCGTTCTGGTGTTCTGGCAAACCGCAGTTGGTGTTCTGAGTGATCCAAGGCACGAGGTGGCGCAGAATTGAGTCTACGCTTGAGTAAGCAATGTGGCGTAACACTCCTTTGCCTCACCCACATCAGTAGTCGATGTTCCAGTCATTTATCAATACCTATTATTCTTTACACTATCTCTTTCTATCTTGCTTTCCAATGTGCATCACAATGCCCCTCCTGGCAGAAGATCTGAACTTTGCAATCCTTCCAGACTTTGAATCAGAATAATTTGAGGAAGCTTGTGCCCAACTTGTCAATGACACAATTGACAACCATGTAGCAGCTGAGCTCTTAGCCAACCTCTGGCGCATTCAGAATGATGCAGACAAACATTGCTGGGCAACCAGACTAAAAGAAGACGCTTGAGCTGCAGAAGCTGAACACAGACAAGCAGAAGAAGCAGAAGCTCAAAAAGAAAGAACTCGCCTAGATGAGCAAGAAGCCACTGTAATGGAAGAGCACAAAAAGAATAAATCTAAGTATGCTCCAATCCGTGACATCGATGTTCCATCTGACCCCATCATTCTCCCTTGTCAATATGCCACTCGCAAGATGAAATCTGGCGAGTACTGCAAACTATTCTACTTCACTAATAGCAGATTGGAAGAGGCCTCTCACATAGCTTTCACAGCCGACGAAGATGCCCTTGTCATGCTCCCCATGGCTGATGGCCTCCACAAATGGATTCCAGCAGGAGCAGCCAGAGACCCTAAAGTCCAGATAGTAAAGGACGAGAACCTCACCTGGGAGCAGTTTAATGAGGCAGCCCCACATATGATCACCCTGATGAAAGAAAATGACTGGCCAGAAGACAGGATGAACATGCACATCACCTTCTGGTCGGCTCTACAAAACCATCAATGGTGTCATGATTTTGACATCCACAAAAAAAGAGCCATCCTGCTTTACCAAGCACAGCAAAGGAGGTGATGGCACCCAGCGGTCGTTCAGCTAGCTGGAGTTTGGCTAGTATCAATCAAGATCTCTTGAACGAAGCCCATAAGACAATCATCAATTAATTCAGATACCAGCAGTTATCAATCCAGGTACACACCCAACACATCTCAGGAACTTAAGCTTATAGAATTTCCCCTTCTACCTAACTCTTACATCTTGCAATCATCGCAACCCCCTACCCTACAAATTGTTTGGCATAACATCCAAACTACCCAGACATCACATTCTGAAAATGCCACACCTATGGCTACTTCTCCTGGGCCAATCACAGTTCCAAACCAATCTCTTCTTGGCCATCATATGCCCCCCCCCCCCCCCTGAATTGTCCCTCCCCAACTGGGCTATCACATACTCTCCCAAATAACCCAACAAACTCATGCATCACACCTTTGCTGCACAGTCTGGGGCTTCACTCACAACAGCCCCAAACAAAGACTCAAAGCATCACAGCCGTTTGGCCAGCACCCAAAAGTGCTCACCCTCTCCAGCTCCAAACTTGAGACCTATCAAGAAGTTGAGAGTCTTACAAGACCCCAATACCCCCAACTCATGCTGTGCAGTCTGCCTCAGGTACAGCTCACACCGAGTCACTGAGTGCACCACCCCCCACACTTGGGACAAAAAGCATGACACTATCACTGAGCGCATCAACAAGGCATTATGGACTAAAGAAGGCAAGCAGTTATGTACAGCTTGGCAAAGAGAAGGATGCAACAGCACAAAGCATGACTCATGCCACATCTGTTCAGGCTGCGGCACTGTCACTCATAGAGCCCAGTATTGCCCTAGAGCTCAGAAGGCTTAATCCTGCCACCCCCTACAAAGCAGATGCATGGGCCAAAGAACTCACTGAAGCAAACCTACTACCATGTTTCAACAAAGTACCTGAAGGTATACATTCCGGTTTTCACTTAAATTTTCCATTCATTACACATACCCAATCCCCTTCTAACAAAGATTCCATTATCACGTACAAAGATCAATTCGATGCATGCATACTTAAAGAACTCCAAAATTCACAATATATAGGGCCCTTTAATGCTGACACTCTTTCAAATCTTATTGGACCATTTCAAACCTCCCCCCTTTCTATTATACCAAAGCCTGGCAAGCCAGGAAAGTTCAGATTAATTCAGAATTTCTCTTTCTCCCTCTCCGTAGAACCCCACTTCCCCAACCCATCTATCAATTCATATATCAATGCCAATGATTTCCCCACCACATGGGGAAAATTCTCAGTTATATACCTGCTCATAGTGAGACTTCCACCAGGCTCCGAAGTCGCAACACATGACATCACTGAAGCTTACCGAACCATACCACTTCACTCAATGGCCAACTGCCGCAGTACACATTTTGGAAACTGAATTCTGTGTAGACACTTGCACAGTGTTCAGTGCCACGCCTTTGGCAGGCGCCTATGGGCATGTAGCAGATGCAGGCGCCAAGATACTCAGGCACCATGGGATAGGCCCCCTAGACAAATGAGTAGATGATCACATTTTCTTCAGAATACGAAAAGAGCACCTACCCAGATACAACCAAAAGTGCGCTGTTCTGCATGATGTGGGAATCATGCATGGACATGAATACTAGGTGACCCTCAAAAGATAAAGTCTGCTAGCTTAGTCCTCAGACTAGTCAACCCATACCTTGGTTTCAAACCATGGTCCATATTTCTAGTTTTCCCCAAGTTTCATGATCTGAATACGTTTTGACGGAAAAAGTCTAATGTGAGATGGAATCACATTTAGACCTAGTTGATGTGAGAAGGGAAATGAAGGTTAAGGTATAGCCTTGCCTTTGGCTTATTCACTTTGGCTAGAGAAAACCATAGAGAAAAGTACAAAGCCAATAAAAAACCTATCCAAAAAGACCGTGTTTCAATTCCTGCCAACTGCATTATTTTGACTGTGTTTCAATTCCTGCCAACTGTCTTATTTTTGCTACCTACTTTTCTCTAGTGTTTCTTTACTTTACTTTTTCATTAGGATGCTTTGACTCACCTGACACTTCATAAAATTGTACCCATAGGGTATGATGTCATTATGATGTCATAAGACTCCACAGATACTCCTGCAGGTATTCTGTTGAAAGATATTATGTCATCAAGCTCTAGATTATTCTACTCTACAATGACATCATTCATGATGTCATTTCCTTCTAGAATATTCTGCTGCACAATGATGTCACTCTTGATGTCATTATGATGTCATTACTCCACATTCCAGAATGTTCTGCTCCACAATGATGTCATAGCTCCATCTTTCACTTGTATTTTATTCTTTTATTGGGTTTGACCCAATATTTTGATTGGTCCTCCTTATTTTTTATTGTTTGTGAACCTAGGTTACTTTCCCACACAAAATGTATATAAGGAGAGCCCATTCTCCCCCAAAAAAATATGATCTCCCATTTGTAGCAATCTGCCTATCAGATATTTCACTTGCAAAGTTAGTCCTCTTTGAAGTGAGACAAGTGCAGGGAAAAGAATTCCCTTGAGATTATAAGTTTCTTACCTTAGAAACTTATTAGTGCCATAGACCAAGCGTTCTTGGTCACATATATTGTCTTTGAGACCCCTTTGTCTCATTGCTCTGTGCCCTTTGACTAAGCGATCTTAGTCATCTATCATATTGTTGAGACCACGTCTCACTAGTTGTCCCATAGACCAAGTGATCTTGGTCAAGTTATAGTCCCCTTTGTTCAAGCGATCTTGAATATATATCGTATATTTGAAGACCATTGTCTCACAGTCAGGTGTCCATAGACAAAGCAATCTTGGTCATATTTCGTATATTTGAGACCACGTCTCACTAGTTCCAGTATCCAAGTCCAGAGCCTAGAAGGAGATTTCCTAGGCAAATACATTCCAGAAACTGAATTACGTGTCTAGAAGCTTATTCCTAGACAAGAGATTTGAGTTTCAATAAAGAAAAGTAAAGCTCTGGCTAGGTTGATCTTTATAAAAAGATTAGTTTAGCGAGCCTCCCAAGAACTCACACGTTATCTACCACGAAATAGGAAAAGT